TTTTTTTTTTTTTTTTTTGTCTAGATTTTTTTCCAAAATAATATTTAATTTTATTTTGCATAAATTACTAACTTTAATTATTTATCAATTAAGTAATTTCTAAATATTTTGGGGCAAATTGTTGTTGGTTGCCAATTTTTAGATGTCAACGCTTTGATCCCAAGGCGGATTAAACAGTCTACATCGTTGAATTAAATCAAAACGTTTATCTATAATTAATTATAATAAAATAATACAAATGATCTACATATATATATATATATCTTGGGTTCTTCACATCCCTCCCTATATATATTAATTTAAAATGTGTTGAGTCTAAGTGGCAGATTCTCACACTTCAGATGCTGATATGGCGAAAATCTAGGTTTCGTGATGTTGTTTTTATATTAATTTTTAATGTTGTACGTGGGTATTAATACTAGTAATTATCTAAAAGATAATTTTGGTAAAATTAATTTAGACAAAACAAAAGTTAAATTAGACAAAATACATGATAAAATAATATTATATATAATCATTAATCATACTTTAATATTAAAATATACGTGCCATAGAATTTCTATATATATAAGTAAACTCCCCTACCCATGGTGGACACATTTTTAATAAATAAATTTACACATATATTCAACTCAACACTCATATTGTACATGAGTATTAATACTAGTAATTATCTAAAAGATAATTTTGATAAAATTAATTTAGACAAAACAAAGTTAAATTAGACAAAATACATGATTAATATAATATTATATATAATCATTAATCATACTTTAATAATAAAATATATGTGCCATATATATATATATGAGTAATGCTCTCCTTTCAACGGTGGACACATTCTAATATGTCCATCGCTTATGTGACATGCACACATTGGTGATCTATTTTTTAACATCACCAATGTGTGCATGCCACATAAATAGTAGACATATTAACATGTGCCCATCGTGGATAAATGAGCATTATTCATATATATATATATATATATGTATATTGGACCACATGAACTTATCAATTAGATCTTCTAATTAATGAAGATCTAAATAGAAGTCAACATGATTTTCAAAAAAATTGGGTTGGGCCGTAAGGTGGCCGGTGGGTACACAAAGCCGACAAAATTTTGACTTCATAGGAGACGACTCATTCATAATTACCTTTTTCCTCTAGTCTTAATTTGAATCCATAAAATAGTATTAAATTTCCACCTAAATAATTTGGATTTAATAAATTTGAAAATATTTTTTTTTAAAATAAAAAAAAATCCCGCAT